TTTTTTGTCAAAAAGTTGTCACAGAGTCTTCTTGTTGGTGAGGAGGGTGTTACATTCTTGGCCTTCTTGTTAGGAGACCGGATGGTGCGTGCGTTGAGAGTGACCCCTGAATATTCCTGACATGTTCTTTTGATATCTGTGGACGACAGTCGACGATTCTACAGGCTCTTGAACTTCATAACACGATCTCAGCTGCTGTGGAAGCTTTCTTCCTCCCCTCTCCCCCCCCCCCCGTCTCTCTATATCCCTTCACCCAGCGGCTCACATAAACTGGTTAAATTTAATTATTCTAGTAATTTGCCTTGTCAAAAGTCCCTCGTTCCTCAAAGAAACAATGACTGCTTTTTTCCGTGGAGTTAACTCTAAACCCTTGACCATGGCCCCCACGTTGTAGCAGATAAGTTTCTAAACTGTCTCTTAGTATGAACCTCTATCTATAGCCAAACAACGGCTGATGCAACACCTGGACAGCCTATACGGCTGCTGCATCATTCATAAAACAGTTTGCACCTACATGCATTAGGAGCTCAAAACAGACGATGATTCCGAAATTGGGGGATGCAATAAATTTTTCCACCACTGTGTATTTAGATATGTGTCAAGAACTTCTGATCAAAAGTAAGCTAATTATATTGGTAACTTATGAGTTAATGAAGCCACTTCTTTGCTTTCAACACTGTTTAGCTTTTAGTAAAATATGTCCAGGACAGTATGAAATTAATACTAATAAAATTCACAACAAGTCATGGTGGATTAAATATATGGCAATAGTACATATGAAAAACAAGAAAACTGTCACCATAGTGACAAAACTATTTAAAAGTGAAAGAATTGGCCAACAATCACAACAAGCTGTTTAAAGATCAAGAAATACATTTTCTGCTAACGTTTTTTATATTCTTCCACGGGGAGGGGGGGGGGTCTTGGCTGAAGCTACCCCAAAATGTGCCTTAACCTCTTCTTAGCCCCCCGCAATCTACGATAAGGGCTTATTGTTAAAGTTGCTTCATTTCCTCAATACTATAGTACGTTTACCCACAAGATGTAGAGTGCAGCCTTCTCAGTGTTTTTGTTTAGCCCACATCAGCCCCCTCACCAAGGAAGGCTGGTGTAGTCCATGTTCTTCCGAAAATCCGTAAAAGTGAACAAACCATTATGATGTGTGATGCAGTTAGACTGAGTTAGTGATGATTACTTACAGATTCAAAAACGGACTTTTATATCTGTTAAACCTATAATAGGTGGAAAAAAACGACCCACAAATAATTTAAGTGAATTTTTCAACATTTAGTTGAAATTATTTTCTTCTAGAAGTCTCCAGTTACATAAAAGATAACTTAGATTTCATGAAAACTTCCACTTATAGTTAACAAGTATTTAACATATTTTAGGAATTATTTCAATCGAGTGTTATTTAGAGGATTTTCCAGACCTTTTTTAATGAGCTCATTTTGGGCATATGTTGGAGTAGGTTATAAAATAATTAAATGGAACCACTTGGTCATGGACAATCAGGTGGCACCGTCATGTGCAACCTTAGTTATGGAGCTTTTTACAAACTACCCTATATACTGAAATTGGTAAGAAATTTGGTTACAAAATGCAAATTTCTGTTCTAAATAACTGGTATCGCAATCATGATGATTGTTTCATAACATCTTTAAATGACCTTAATATCGCAAAATTTTTCACAGAATTTTAAACAATTTGAATGCAAACATTCAGTTAACCAAAACTGTAATCAAGTGTTCAGTTGTGATTTCTTGGCGTTTAAAATTATCAGAAAACAAAGAAAAATATTAAAAAAGATATCTATTCCATAAACCAACTAACGTTAATTTCTTTAGTAATCATCCAAGACCTATTAACCGCAATAAACCATTAACTTATCCACAAAAGTAATATAATTATGAAACTATTGAAAAGAGAAGATTGTTAGAATTCATTTCATTTTTGTTAAACTGGAATGATTTAGAAAGTTTAGTCGATTATATCATTAAACGTGCTATACAACTTAACACTATCAAACACCAAAATATTGCCTTTAATACAACTTTCTGCCCTTTTGTAAACTTGATATCACAACTATTCGGTACAAAATAAAATAAAAACTATTTTTCGAGATGTATATATTTTCAGTGCTTATCGACAACCCAAGAATAAAAAATAAAAAACACTTTTACGCTACGTAATTCCAACTAAAGCGCCCCCCAGTGGCACAGCGGCATGTCTGCGGACTTACAACACTAGAATCCGGGTTTCGATACCCGTGATGGGCAGAGCACAGATAGCTCATTGTGTAGCTTTGTGCTTAATTACTAAAAAAAACTAATTAAAGATTATAATGTTGGTTTTTTTTTCACTGTAATAATAAAAGATGTAATTTATGGACCTTAAATTACATTGTAATCGGTAATGTAATAACGAAACCTGATGGGTCAATGCTATTTTGTGTCACTAAATATTTTCATTATAATTCAACCAACTATGTTTATCTTTTACAATGTATTTTTTCTCATATTTCTGCACAGACTATCTACGAGCACGTTTAAATCAGTTCGAAAGCCGCATACGAAATCCATAATATATCCTCCTTTTCTGTTCATAGCACTTTCACGATTGAATTATCAAATATAATGATAATTTCCTGGAATCTTATCCTTCCCGGTTCTACAGTGATATTTCACAAACACTAATACTTGCAAAACATTCCCTTTAAATCCGAAATAAATGTTGAACAGAAAGTATCTAATACGATAGGTGTCACTGCATCCCTAATCCGAAATAAATGTTGAACAGAAAGTATCTAATACGATAGGTGTCACTGCATCCCTAATCCGAAATAAATGTTGAACAGAAAGTATCTAATACGATAGGTATCACTACATCCCTAATCCGAAATAAATGTTGAACAGAAAGTATCTAATACGATAGGTGTCACTGCATCCCTAATCCGAAATAAATGTTGA